AACTTTATTATTGACTCTTTATATTACCCTTCATAGTGACTGTTTCACCATATAATTACTGCTACTACTATTATTACTACTACTACTATTACTACTTACTGTTACTGATACTGATACTGATACTGATACTGACACTGCTACTATAACGCTCACCATTATCACATTTATTGCTACACTACGACTGTTACTGCTACTGGTATGCCACCAACCTAGCCATCTAGTAAGTCAGGCAGCGGCCACCCATGAGGGCATACACGGGCCGAAACCCGAACCATCCGCGACTACGCCACACAGATCCGTTCGACCCAACCAAGCGCCGTTGTGTCTGGCCTTTCTCTCTGTCCGTAAGCAAGGTGGTGCCTGGGCCCAAGGTAAATGCGTCACCTTAACCGAGTGTACTCTTTAGATATATATATTATATCTATTATATATCTTATATACACTTACACACTTTTGTAACTTGTTCTCTTATTTATTGACATCTTTTTAAAATATAAATTGTATATCTGTTAACTGTGCACCATAGTTCAGGTGTTTTATATGTATATATATATTCTATCTATATTAATATAGATCTCTATTGAAAACGTTCAACGAGCTTGGAGCCGTGCACACGCAATATAAAACCAATACCGGAAACAGAGGACCAGTTTAACAGTTTATTTATATGATATATATTGTATATATATCATATACACATATATCATGTGTGCTCGAAATTAGGCATCCGTTCGTTTGGTAACGATATACGTAGAAGTTGGTTTATTTTCCCGTACTTTGTGTATATGTTCGTTAGTCATATGAATCAACGTTTTTAAATAACTTGGCGTTTACGTTTTTTTTCTTCAAACGAACGCTTTTCACGTGCCTTTCGAATAAGAGTAGAAAATCAACTTTTCTTTATGCAAGGCAATTTCTATCTTTCTGTTAGATTCAGTTTCCTTCTCTCTTTTGGGTTTGTGTACGAGACATATAAAGAAGACATTTCAATCATCAAGCATCGTTGCAGATTATCCTTTAAAAAATTTAAGGTATATCGACCTGATCCCTATCGGTATGTTTTACTTCACGAGATACGAAAACATGACCATATTTAAGATTTGCAAATATATCGAACACAAATTTTTTTGAAAACTTGATGTGTTGTGGATGATTACGAAGAAACCTCAAGATGAATGACAAGAGATACTATCTACACGCACGCACCTAACAAGAGAGAGTCCACGACTTTAAGCCGTACCTGGTTCCCACAAATACAAGAATAGCCTCAACCATGAATGTATACAGTGGATACCGAACAGAAATTTTCTTCTCGTTACGGACGATGAATCACCAAGAAGAATAGATAGAAACCATCTCGCTAAATTATAGAAGGCACAATAAGAAAAGGATATTACATCAAGAGGAACATAAATTTTCCAGAAGGAAGATCCTTGATGAATGATAGCGAAAAATGATTTCTCCTCCTGACCAGTTATTTTCAAAGGAAACAGGTGGAACGTGCTTTTATTTTCAGCATCGGTTCATGTTCTTTGGATTTTTCGAATTCCAACTTCCAGCTATATTAGCAAACAAAGTATATGTTCCTCATCCTGTATACACAAATTACTTTTACTTTTGTCAGCTTTGAAATATAAGTTTTGTAATCTGAAAGACATTCTAAAAGAAACCGAACATTTTTTCAGCATACTCAAGATCATTCATCTTCCACTATTCATTGTTTGATTTTACGAGCAACTGTCTTTCTCTCTGCCTTATGCAGTTCCATCTTTTCAACGATCCATATAGTTTTTGATCGTACCATACAGTTTACAATTTCTTTCTGCTTCAAATAAAAGTTGACTTCAGAAAGTTTTTTGTATGCAATCATGATTTTGGTAAAACTTTATTGTGAGCTGCTCTGCAGAAATATATTCAATGATTATTCCTTCAGATAAAAATAATATTTCAGATAATTATTAAAATATATTTTCGACAGTACTTATTTTTCTGCAGGGTGGAGGTGTTTGCTATAACATATGACTATACTTGTTTTAAAGATTGAATTGCATAAAAAGAAAGGTTGCATCAATCGCAGATACTAAATTCGAGCACATGTTTTCGACATATATTCTCAACACTGAAGATTATGGACAGACAGGAGACATAACATGGTTTTTTCAGTAAGGATAGATTTTTTGGTATATATTTCGGGAGGAGAAGGATTACTAAATAATGTGTTAGAGGAAATATAGTGGACAAAAGTGCACAGGATACATTTTAACCTCTGCGTAATTTGTAGTATAGGAACACAAAACTTAGTTTTATTCATACGTGAATATTAATCGTATTTCATTATAATTAATCGTAAGATATATTTCATTGTCACTATGATATACTAATTCGTATTCTTGTGTGGTGCTCAGGATTTGAAGGATTATATGAGACAGGCTGGCGAAGTGACATATGCAGATGCACATAAACAGCGCAGGAACGAAGGGTAAGACAAATAATTTAAAACAAATCGTATAAATTTTATATAAAGTTTGATTAATTATATAATTTTAATGTTACAGGGTTGTAGAATTTGCAACATACTCTGACTTGAAGAATGCTATTGATAAGTTGGATGACACAGAACTAAACGGACGTAGAATCAGACTTATCGAAGATAAAAGACGTGGTCGTCGCTCAAGATCCTCAAGTTCGAGATCAAGATCACGGTCACGATCTCGATCTCGTCGCCGATCCCGCTCCCGCTCAAGGTATTATCGTCGTTCTCGATCCCGATCAAGGTACTGTCGGGGGGCGGCAATGTCTCCATCATTTTTTACTTTAATACTAACCATATTTGTAGCATATTAGCTTCTAATTTTGATCACTTCAAAGTTATGCTATATATTTCATGGTTGAAATCTGAAATTATTTTACATCTTTTAATATTTGATCATACATTAGATATGTTCAGTTCGTCGTGCATGATAACAGGACATTCATCTAGACTAACTTAAAACGATTGCAATTGATATGACAGTTAAGGTTTTAAATAGTAGACAAATTTTGTAAAATGTTTTAAACATATTATGATACTTTTTGTTGTACCAGGAGTCGTCGCAGCTCCCGTAGTCGTAGTCGACGCAGCAGCCGTTCCAAATCAAGGGCACATACCAAATCAAAATCCAAATCCAAATCCAAATCTCCTGAACGTAGCCGAACTCGATCTAAATCCAAGTAAGTATATCCGATCCCGTCTAAAATTTGTATTTCTGTCAATTTATGTTCTACGACTAATGTTTTAGAACGTTTATTTATTTGCTTTGTTTCTTGCGCAATTATCAATAACTAAATGTTATGTAGTTATTCTATATTTTATACATATTTTTTCACTCCCATCCATTGGCATTGTGTTTGGGCTGGTTTTTTTTTAAAAACCTCTCATTGCTTAATATATATTTACACGAAACATATGTCATCCGTTTGAAAGAAAAAAATAAGTTTTTATATTTTTACTTGTACTTTCCTGCATCCTCTTCATTTGAACTATAATTTTGCAGATCAAGAGACCGCTCAAAGTCGAAATCTAAGTCAAAGTCCAAATCCAGATCTCGTTCTAGGTCCAAGGCTGAGAGGTCAAAGTCCAGGTCGCAGTCCAAATCCAAAGCCAAGTCTCCCTCGAAGTGAGTTTAATCGATATAATTAGCGCAAGAAAAGCAAATCCATAGCCGTCTCTTTAATCCAGATCTTCTTCCAGAGATAGATCTAGTCGCGAAAGATCGAGAGGCGACAGGTCGAGGTCCCGATCAGGCAGCAAACATAGCAAAAGCCGTAGCCGTTCTCGTTCACCAATGAACGGTGACAAATCGCCAGAAAGTAATAAACAGAAAGTTGATTAAAAAAGACGGAACAAAAAAGAAAAGGGACTTTTATCGTGAGAAGAAAAGAATTGGAAAGAAGGAGTTTTCTTCTTTTTGTTTCCTTTTTTCTACGATTAAATACATTCAAGAAGCCAATTTTTCATGCCTTTGTTTTTAAGAGACGTCGACTTTTTTGACATTATTACTACTTGTAATTAACATGTACATCATTTTACGGGTAAGCGAAATTTCCAAGATCTTGTAAAATGTGTAACAGTGAAACTCAAAAATGAATGAATGTAATTAACGATCGGCTTAAGTATAATTAAATAATTGTACATGATTTACTTAATCAAACCAATTTGTACATTGGTTTCACACAATTTTGATTGTACACCTGTCATCTTTGAAAAAACACCACTCGCATTTAGAGAAATAAGATGTCTTCATACGTACCTTAAAACGGATTCTACACATTTTTTGATGTATCGCCGTATATCAAGGAATTCCCTGTAATGGCTTTTTGTATATATTCCTAACAATCACATTACGATAAGGAGATTATGTGATGTGTATTAAATTTAGCGGTAAGAGGTATCTTATTATCAATAAAATTTCACGCCAAGCCTATTCTGTTTAATTTAATTTCTTGTTATTTCGATCATTGGAGTATCCATTTCCTTCTAATTTTGTATTCAAATATTGTTTACAAAGTAATCAAATACTTAGAGGTATCGTTTGCTTCAACTATCGATAATATTGATAGGTATCGATTGTCGAGTTTTTATTATTAACAAATACTAGGAATAGCTATATAACAAATTATGGTGAACAACAATTATTAGTTTCAAATGAATAACATATTTACAGATATGAGATTTTATTATTTAAAGCATGTAATTTTTTTATGTTTTTGTTCAATTATTCTTTCCTTTATTCATTCCTATTAAATATATATATATGTATATATCCCATAAGTAATAAATTTATGCGGACACTATCAAAGCCAACTAAATGTTGCTGCATATTTCACAGTCTCTTGTTCATCTTGTCAACCAGTCAATAAAGTCAATATAATTTTTTTTATAAAGTATGCGACTTATCAATCAGGCAATCGGATGGACGTTTAATACTTTTTAAATAGGCTATAATAAAGTCCATGTTTGAATGTCTGAACGCCGGGACTCCACGTGCCGAAAACATGAACTACCGAAGTCACTACAAGGCACAGAAGATGCCGAGTTTGTTTGGAGTATGATAACCGAAAGATTTCCAAATGCTGCACCGCTTTTATGCGAAATGGAGGCTGTTATCGATCGCGCAGAAGATCTTCTTCAGCAACTACGGACACCATGTCGAGAAATTGGTAGATTTATGATCGTTTAGAAAATAATTTATTCAGAATGAATTATACTTCATATCTAAAATTAAAATTTAAAAGAAATTGTCACATTTCTTCAGAAACATCAACCTCTTTCTGTACACAAGATTCGGAAGAATCAACTGTAATGATTTCTGCCAAGGGATCACTAACCACGGAAAGTAACGTAGGTATCAGAAATCTAATATTCTGATTCAATTTTGTAATGAAATATACGTGAATTATATAGATTATAGAAGAAAGTGATATCGTAAGTAAGAACGTAGCGGAAATACAAGTTTCTGAAAGCAGTATTTACGAAGAGGAGATTAATTTGAATAGTCAGAGTGGAAATTCAGTAAATAAAGAACAGAATAATGGGAGTCAATCAAGTGATTCTTTTATAACAAATCCTTCCTACACTACAAAGAAACATTTTAGTGATGCATCTGCTTCTCTTAATATTGAAACAAGTTTGCATTTCTTTACTTGATTATAAAATTTAAATGACAGTTTGTAATAATTGCGTACTAATCCGTAATTTGTGTTTAGATACTGATCAAATAAAAAAGATGCATAGTTTGGAGGAATGGGCGAAAATAGTAGATAATGCCATGCGTGAAGATACTGGTATTAGTGATTACTATACAATTATTTCTCTTATAAAGATAAATAAATTTTTATTTTAGGTGAAGTACAGTCTGTTAAAAAAACAATTAATATGTTTGAGAAACGTATTAATAGTAAAGAAATTGAAATAGAAAATTACAGTTTAAATAGTAATTTTTTATTTTATTTTATCTTCAACTTGATTTTAAATAAACAACTTCACATCAGATTTTAAGTTTTAAAATTTCATAGAGAACGAAGAATCTTGCATTATTTTACATCGTCAAGAAACATGTCCAGATGATTCAGTCGGTGATTCCACCATGGAAATCGATTCTGATCGAAATTTAAAAAATCAAACACCAATCCCGACTATGGACAACGTACTAAATGTTTCAATTAAAGTAAAAAACAATATTCTCTTTGTTTTCTTATATGTACACTATGTTATACAATTTATTGTAATATATTACAACATGTAATAATCTAGAAATTAATTAAAGGGTAGCGGTGACGAGAGTTTGTCAAAAATTGTTACTCAACGGACTCCATTAAGTGTTTTAGAGGTGTATGCAAAACGTTGCAAAGTACCAATCGAATATGAATACACGACTGACAGTTCACATCGTCACAAATCGAACATCTATGTAATACGTGGAAATTTCGCTGGATTTGCTGGTAATGTCTCGCGTATATATTTGATACATTCATTCTATACGTTATATATTGAAGATTCTTTTGTATAATTTCATAAGTTTACCTGATTTTTCATTTTACAAACATGGTCTTCTTTAAAAAGCAGCAATATTTGCTTCGAAATTAAATAATAGTTAGAAAAATGTAATCAACTTTTGCTTTTTATAAATTTTAATAATTACTTAAAGTACATTTCACGTAAAATTAACAGCAACATGTCGAGGTTTAACCAAAGAAGCGACCAAAAATGATTTAGCCGCGAAAATTTTGAAAATGATTGCAAATCAGCAAATGGAGGATAAAAAACCTGATACACTAGCGGATCTTACAAAGACAGAGTATGTAACATAGAAACCTAATTCACAACAATTAATTTTTCATTTAAAAATACTTATATATAAGCTATTGAACAATTATAGTTACTGAACATAATTTTATTCGATAGACTGTTGGAAATAATTAATTTAGGCGGGGATGATCTAAGAGAAACAGCACAAAGGAAATTATATGAACTCTGCCTTGAAAAAGGAGATTCAGTTCCAACGTACTCCGTGGAAAAAGTAAAAACTTATCAGGGTTTGACTTACGTTGCTACATGTTCTGCATTAGGCTATACTAGTGAAGGTTTAGTTTAGAAATCTAAATAAATCTTTTGTTTTGTTTATTCCATGTTCTTTCCTGAGTTATAACTAGGTTTCCTTTTAAATAAATGTAGGTCGTGGTGTGAGAGAATGCGTGGCTAAGAAGGCAGCTGCTGACGAGTTATACCATCAGTATTGTGAAAATAAGAAACAAGATTGAAAGTAAGTTCTCGTGATACTTTTTAAAAGACTCCTCAAAAAATTCCGAGAAGTCGTATACGAATGATCATTCAGTTATGGTATTTTAGCAACGATCCAAGGCAGTTTACCGGTTTTCTTAAAAGACCAGTAATCGTAAAGCAGTTTTCCAATTATTAAAAATATCAGAATTGCTAAAATAATGTTTAGAATGTCCAGGGGATGAAGTACAGATTCTTCGTCCGGAGAAGTACAAATTTCTGTGCGTCTCAAATCTCTTATCTTCGAAAAATTATATTTTAATTGTTTAGATGCTTTGTTTTAAGAATCAACATAAACAAAAATGATTTAATAACTTACAGTTTTATTAGAATTATCATCTGCATTGGTAGGCGAACATCTGACATCATTAATATCTTTTACTAGGTTCATATACCTAATGAGGAGATCCTAAAAATTTAGATAAAAAAGAAATAAATAATTAAATCGAAATTTAATATTTTATTAAAGATTTGAAACTTTTTCTTGTTATATAAATGCATTATGATGCTTTGAATTTTACCTGAAAACCTGGTGTAAAAAGACAATCGCATCTCCATGGATTTTTTCCAAGATACAAACTTACTGCGTTTCCATTGTGTTGTAACACATTTTCCAAAGCATATGTAGGTAGCTGGAAAAACAACAGAGTAAACTTATCGCTTCTGCCATCGCTTTAAATTAATATTAAATCTAACGAGTCTAGTCAAATGTAAATCTTTTGATACTAATATTCCAGTAACATATACTTGATTATCGGAAATATAATACAAACATCGGTCAGTTTGTTTCCACGAAGACTGAGCACTCGAAAGCGATCTACCCAGCTAGAACCCTCCAATTGAACAATCGATTCAATCGTATTATTATCAAGATAAAGGTCTATTACTCCTCTGTATATAGGATTCGTTGTAAGTGGTCTTAAATCTCGTATCTAAAATTTGAATTCTATTTTTACACTACAAATAAATTTCAAATATTACAAATTTTTTAAATTTTATTTACAATATTGCAACCTTATTTCCGGACAAATGAAGGGTGGTTGTGTTTGCGGGTAAGAAGCTTGGCATCTCGGTTAATCCACGATGGCTGCAATTCACCGAAACAAAAGCCATCAGTTGCTTCTGGATATGTTTCCCTCCGTTACCAAGCACGTATACTAATTTACATTCACATATAGTCTTTGTACATTCCTCTTTCAACGTCTAAAATATTAAATTTAACAAGTTCAGATAGTTCACAGAGATTAATTTTGCTTTCTGCGAATAAACAATAATATGAAATTAGTTACGTTGATTATTTCTACAACTGGAATTAGTGCTCTACCATCGTATGGCACTGTACAACGTAAATGTGCTTTATCAGCGACTTTGTGACCCAAAGAACCTTTTTCTCCGTTTAATATCCACTTTGTATCCTCCGTGCATTTTAGAGGATTACCTTTACAAAGATATTTGTATTGTTTAAGGTAGAGATAATTAAATTTGATGAGAAAGCTTATAAGTGTTTAATTTTTTACCAGAAAGATAAATATGATGTAACGAGGGAATATTGAAAGTTTCAACATTCATTTCCGGAAAGCTATCATTTCGAAAATCAATAATCTTTAAGTTTAAAAGATTGACAAAAGTATTCTTTGGAAGTTCTTTTAACGTAGTTTCAGTTATCTCTATTTTCTGAAAAGAAGATATTTCTTACATTAATTGAAAAAACAGAGTATCATAAAATATTAAATAATCAAACCTCGATCAATCGTGACTCGTTTGGAAAAGGCGACGTTAATTTAGTTAAGTTTCCCTTTTTAATTGTTAGCTTTTTCAAAGAAGGAAATCCTTGTAAAATATCTTGAGGATCGAAGGATGTCAAAGGCCAGTAGCAAAGTACTAAAGTTTGCACGTTCTCACCTCTAAACAACCATCCGTAAATGCTTTTCTCTATATATTGTAACTATTTAAGATACTTATTAGTAAGTAAGGATATGATAACGATAATCACCCGGTCTTCCACTTATCCTCCAGACCGTGAAAACAAACCAAACGATCATCGTGTTCCTTGAAATCGCACTCGATGCTGGTATTTAATTTTGTTTGACGCAAATCGCAATTTTCTTCGCTCGTGTTCGCCCCCAAAGGTAGGAAAATCATCGAGGAAAACATTATCCTATTTGAATCAATCATTAATCAATTATTTCCTACTACTTTTTACAAAATTACGTAAACGTTAATGAACAATTTGTTAGTTTCTCATGGAAGTAATTCAAGAAATCTGTTTATCAATACCATCATCTTTTCGCCATGTAAGTTTTGAATATTCTATTGAAATATGGCATAAAATTATCTAATCTCTTGTAGCTTAATACTCCTACAAACACGGAAGCACGCGGGACTCAGTATGCGCCATGCTCCAACATTTTGAGCAAATAACCATAATCCTCCGTTACTTATCTAATCGCCATTGTCTTAATTTCTCCTCCATTCGTACATTTTCTGACGATCGATCGGTACGAATGCGATTTTTAAACAATGCTTCTGGGAGTCGGAATCTTAAGGACACGTAAGAGGAAACTCATTTTCCTCTTGTTTGCAGTCGTATTCGTGTTTGTTTAACCAGTGCAACATTTGCCTGACCAATTCTGAATTTTGTGCAAATACCGATCAAGTTACTGTCGCGTTATTTTGAAAATTGAAACGTATTTAACAAGTTTAATAGTTGCGTGAAAAATTGTTCAGTGTCTTTGAAAATAACAGAAAGTTGTACAAAAAGAAGTTTACTTACGCAAGAATGTAATTTAATATTTTCCACATTTTAAGAAATTTTGTTTAAATCGAATCTTGCATTAGAAAAGTGTAGAAGAACTTGTTTGAACTTAATAAGAATGATCACGAGTTCTCCATCGATATCGAGTTTATTAATCGTTTGAATGAATAATAAATAAGGAGACCATATTCGAATGGTGCACAAGTGTCAACTGAGGCCTGGCGATAATAATAAGAAAATCGAAGCTGATCCTCTCCTGCCGGATGAATAACTAAGACGATACGATGGTTTAACTAGAAGAGAACACATATTGCAAGATGTGAGCGCAGACGCAGACATTCGATTTACATAGTGCGCTAATGCATATCGCGATAATTAGATCTTTTAGAATGGGAAAAACAACTATTTGTAGTCGTTTACTCTAATATTATACATGTATATTTAAAAGACAATTTGATGAATTTTATAATGTTTGTTAAATTACCTTAAAGATTTCCATGAAATTTCTAATATTTAATTCTAGTTACAGATTGGTAGGATTATGTAGATATCATTAAATTATATCTTTATATTTATATTTTACGGTTTTTTAAAACAGAAATTCAATTCCTGTGGAAAAAAGATAATTAGCCTTGACATACTGTAGTAAACTCATGCCTATGAAATCACTCTCATCTCTTACCGTTGAAGCTTGGTTCGTTTGAAATAGGCGGGTAAATTAATGATATTTCTATCATAATGTTACTGTAATATCTCAGATAAAAATTAATTATGAGTTTAATTTTCCAGGTATTAATGTTGTGTTAAACAGCTTCTTTTCGAATTATACTATTTCAATGTAAAAGTAGAAATTTGTAATTTAATACAAAGTAATTCACGCGATAGCGGCATTTAGCCATCCGGAATCTCCGTTGTAGCTATGTTATCCCAGTACAAAGAATGAAATTTGACAACCAATTCATCACCGTTACAGAGGCGCCACCTAGCGTAACAAGACCTCTGTTTGTTTTATGCTACCCTAATATAAGAAGTAACTTTTGAGGGAAAATTCAGTTTAACTATAAAAGCGTATGTCTACCTTTAACATTAATATGTGATCCTAGTAGCACAAGTAGATTTTGAGTCGAGTTTCGCAATTATTTTATTTTCGACGATGAATTATATGGAGTGCCAGCTGAAATGATACGAAATGTAGTAATATAAATGAAATCATTTGAATTATTTGAAGACAAAATTAATAATTGAAATACATTTTATTAATATTATTTTTGTATAAATAGAAAATAAATTATATAATTTACATTGAATTAATTTGTCATTCAAGGAAATTAGTTACATTATTTACCATTTAAATTGCTATGTGTAAAGAATATAACAAATTAATAATCTTCTTCACATTCATACTAATTTATTAATTCAACGTAAATATCCATAAATATAAATATCATTATACATATACATATATATATACATTATTGATCTGTGATTGAAATAAAAGATGAAATGTACAACTTTCAAAATAATAAAAATGAGAAGCGTAAAATAACGAAATAAATTATTTAAAAATAAATTATGTAGTTTTAATTATATATACACATTGTAAGTTAAGTAATAATAATAATAAGAATTGACATTTTTTGAACGGATATTATAAATTTCTTCTCCTTTATTAGTTTTTTAAAATACGATTAAATGAGTTAAATAGTTTATAACTTGATTTCAAGAATTATTATTATCCTTTATATTGTGATATTAAGAAATTATGTGAGAAATATTTAAAAAATGAATATTACTCTACATTAATAAATCAGAAAAAAGGAATTCATTAATAATAATTATTAACACATATAATTAAAATTAATCAGCCAATCATTGAATTGGACAAATGTACATGTATTTTGATTGGTGTAGCTCTGTAAGGCTTGACTGCGGCACGTGTCCTTTTTTACCAACAGAGGTCCCAGTGTAACGGATGCAGTCTTTATGAAAAAGAATTCACATTGAGATCTATACGACACTAAAGACGGTTACAAATCCATAGGTTTTCTGAACACGCACCCTAATACAATCGCTTTCACCCTTGTGCGGCTGAGAATTTGATGAAATTCCGGCGCAGAAAGTGCCTAGAATTCAAAGTTGTGGACTGCTATTGATAAGCGTCGTGGTAACATCATAATTCGCGTTTGCTTTACGTCTCGATTATATTTCGCGCCCAAATACATTACACTAATATAACGCAAACTTGTTGCAGATTAATGTCAGGCATTGCGATTGCTAGACTCGCCGAAGAGCGAAAAGCATGGAGGAAAGATCATCCTTTTGTAAGATATCCTTTTGATATATTGTTTTTTCTGAGTGCAATCGACGTGCATGTTACTTTGGTGATCTGTTATATGACATTTAGATTGTTCTTTTAAATAAATTCTCATTCATAAATAAATATCTTTGTTTATAGTATAATTCTAACATAAACAATAGTTTATTATTGTGTTTGAAAATTGTTTGTGACAAAATAATTGAGCAGTTATAAATCCTAACCTTTCGTAACGAAACGCGTGTGTTATTCTGACATATACAGTGCATATGTTAAATAAATCTTAATGTTTTTGGGTGTAATATGTATTGAAATATCATTTAAACGTTTTTTTATAGGGATTCGTAGCACGACCAGTTAAAAATCAAGATGGTACCCTTAACTTGATGAATTGGGAATGTGCAATACCAGGAAAAAAATCTGTGAGTTATATTGTATAATGTTATAATTGTTTATTTGGACAGTAATATCTAATTATTCAATTTTATAGACACCATGGGAGGGTGGCTTATACAAATTACGGATGATCTTCAAGGATGATTATCCTTCCAGTCCACCAAAGTGTAAATTTGAGCCACCTTTATTTCATCCAAATGTCTATCCTTCAGGAACAGTATGTTTGTCACTCTTAGATGAAGAGAAAGATTGGAGACCTGCTATTACGATTAAGCAGATCCTTCTTGGTATACAAGATTTATTAAATGAACCTAATGTCAAAGATCCAGCTCAAGCAGAAGCCTATACAATATACTGGTATTGTATTTATTTTATATAATTGAGACTTTGAATTACTTTTTATAATATGAACTTTTTTCTTTACTACAGTCAAAATCGCTTGGAGTATGAGAAACGCGTAAGGGCTCAAGCCAGAGCAATGGCTCCACAGGAGTAAAACTATACTAAGTCCCATTAAATTCAAATATTCCAACTACATAAAGAGGTTATCAATATCTATAGCATATTCTAATAATGATCTACATTTCTTATCTTTTTTATAAGTAACACTAGTATATGATGTAGCTAATTTACTATTATCTGCATTTTTGTTCTCGAGACAAAATTCCTATGTGTACCCATATACTCTCTATAATCAGCACTTGTATTAAGATATAGAAAAATAAGATACTATTCTATTCTAGAGAAATTTTGCATATTGTCACGTTAAATTTTTTGTAACCATTCGTTTGTAAAATGTGAAGTATTTTCTTTCAAACTAAAAAATTTAATTTCTAAGTTTTAGTAACAATTATTAATAAGTCTCTAAAATGATGTATGAGGTAAACTATGTAAAAAAATGGAAAAACGTGACATAGTTCCAAAACATCCGTTTATTCTGCAGGTTTCAAACTGTCAGTATCTTTGAAAAAAAAAAAAAAACATATGTATTTAAAAGTCTTGTAAGGATTGTACAAATCATAAAAAATAAAGTATTCCAACTAATCTCAATCTTATTAATTTTAACTAAAAATAATCTGGTTTGGCCAAAAGTTGAATATAGATAATAAATATTAAAAGTTTATATAAACATGATAAATTTCATACATATGGATGACCTTCAAATCACGCGAGATTACTCATTTAATCGAATAAGCATGTGTGTGGTGGGAGAGAAAGTTTTTACTCAGTGTTCAGTATACCAAAGTGGAATCAACACCAATCAATGTTCCACGTTATATTTTGTTTCACATTCGCTTCATTATCGATTGTCTCATTTGGATAATTTACTTCAACGAAGAACATTAATTTCTCGTAGTGTTCAGAAAATTTTCAAGTGTGAATAATTCCATCAGTGATTTTTCCTTAAAAAAGTGTATCAAATCAACGTCTAAATTTACTCATTGTTCATATAATTAACTGATATTACCATGTCTACTATTAAGAAATCTGTACGAAAATTAAATGCCGGAATCGTCACCATATGCATCGTAGGTTTTACTCTTTCTTCTTATGCACATTACATAGAAAAGGCAAAGGAAAAGGATGATTTGTACGAGGCAATATGTGACATAAGCGAGCACCTTAGTTGCACCAAAGCATTTTCTTCCGAGTAAGTACACATTATTTAGTTTTAAGACATGCATGATGCAAAGCTCGTACCTTTCTAGAGGAATATCTAGAAAACTTGTGCACAGTGTGATTCGTGTTGTGACGCAAATACTTTTTAATATTATAAATAAGCGAAAAATATTGAATCTATTCTATTATTTAATTTCAAATCTTTGATAATTCATAAATCGATATAATTTATGTAATGTGAATATATGTGCTAAAGGTAATTTCTGTACAATTATATATTAAATGGTGTTCAACATAGAAATCAGCCTTAGTGATTCTTGCGCATGCCTCATATCGAATTTCGAATTCACTGTTTTATGGTGTATAATGGATGATGTAATTTAATAAGAACAGTTAATGTGTTTTGATCTATATGTTAAAAATATTTGGTGAATTAATAAAAAGAAAAAAAAAACAAAAAGATGAATATAATTAATTGGTAAATATATTAAATCTATTTTTAAATACTTGTAGATTAGTAAGTAATTGACTTTATTGCAGATACGGAAAAGGTTTTGGAATAATTCCAGAAACATCCCTTTTATATATGCCAAATGCTGTATATGGATTAATATTTTATGTTTTGATTGCAATATTAAGTACGTATTGGGTTTGTGTTTCAACAAAACATATATTATAAAAAATTATTTCTTTTGAGAAACAAAACATCATATTTCTTTTGTTTTTAATAATATTTTAATGACAATTTTTTAGGTTTATGGAATAGGTATGTTACATCAGCCCTCGTCGTAACGTTAGGAATTTGTGCGAACATCGGCACGATTTATCTGGCTTCCATTTTGTACAAATTAAACAATGTTTGCGTAGTCTGTGTTAGTCTCTACGTTGTAAATGCTATTCTCTTAATACTTGCCGTTAAAAAACATCGAAAACTATTTCGAAATGGCACGAACAAAAAGAAGAAATCGAACTAAACATCAACCCCCTAAAAACTTTAATTTACAGAAAGCAATTTCTTTCAAAAAGTTCCTAACATTAGATTACAATATTAATACCATTTACTTAACACCTATTTCAATGAAATCAAATTTATATGCACTTTTGTCAAAATAAATGCTGTAAATGCAATTATTCTGGAGAATTGTAATTTTATCTTCTATTAGTATGATACAGCGGTAAGATATTCCAAAATTGAACGCAATATTTAATCAGATACTCTTAAATCTGAATTGCTATCACTAATTCATACCCCTCTACCAGTTTGATATGTAATCTTGGATCGTAATCGAATACGTGAGCAAAAAAAAAAAAAAAAAAAAAAAAAAAAAAAAAAAAAAAAAAAAGAAAGAAAATGTCTCACGTGAACTGTGTTGTAATAAGAACCTGTCTGAAACTGTTAGAACAAAACACGCTCTCATTGATTCATACAAAACGAGCCTATCTCTTACAATGAATCTGGGCAATATTAATATCACTTTACACTATACAGAAACTGTTAAACTAATTGCAGTAATAATTAATACCAGCGTGATAAATTCCACTTCAATCGTATTTCAAAAAGCAGTTCATTATGAAATTATTAAAAAGTTCCTAATTGAACAACTTAGTGAAGGATATCTAATACTCGTGTCTGCTGTCCTTCAACAAATCTTTGTTGCTACGGTTGATACTGGCCAAAATGCCTGGACTCTTCAAGGGAGGCGTCTCGTCTAATCGATTCAATTGCAAATTAGACGTGTACGGTATTCTAGGGGGTGGTACGTCGACACCATTTCTATCAGCTTCGATGTTGAAGCTCTTGCTACGCGACAACGAGGCCTTGTAAGTTCGTTCCGGCTTGGCCGGCGGTTGGATGTTACTCTGCACTGCCATCTTCGGTGAGGTGACCGTGTTCTTGATGGAAATATTGATCATGCTTCCATACTGACGCGAGTGGTTCGCCGAAGATGGAACGGTGGCGTGCGACGTTCCCAACTTGATCGCACCGCAAACCGGCTGCTGACGTCTCGAATGGACCTGCGATCGAGCGTATTGTCCTCCAGCGTGTAGGTTCCTCGGCAAGGTTTGCGTGCTCCTAAAGTGTTCCTCTCTCTCGTGATCGTTGGCTAGCCGACTGGTGGACTTGCTAAACCTGCCAAGTGAACTGGACGCGACGCTGAAACGCGTCGATTCGACAATTGATTGTGGAGGAATCGTTCTTCGAGATGGCTGACGAGGCGATACGAAACTACATAGCGGCTTTGAAACATGCTCAAACTCCCTTTCATGCAGCCTTCACCCAGCAGTCGAAGCGACCGACTTTCATCGAAACGTAAACGTATACGTATGTGTTTATATCTATATATACATATATAATTTAACAAGAAGCGAAGCACACCGTTCTACGGATTCAATTATGTAAATCTGTATCAGCTTACTGGAATGTCTTTCGACGCTCATACGATTATGCCTTTCTTTCGCAGTCGGGCAATACGATACCGCTGCTCTTACTTTTACGATTTACTTGTACAACAGACCGAGCTAATGCATATATGCATCGATTAGCCGTTTAATGGTTTTTTTTTAAAGCTTAGCTTAGCCTGGTTACCTGTACTCTGTCTCAGCGACAGTTCTACCACGTGGTTTCCCAGATCTTCTCGCATCTCGATACCCCTTTTCGCGGCCGTAGATGCTTCCTCCAAAGGGATCCTCGCCAAGGTAATACCTGTGCAATGGTGGTGTCGACTCACTGCGTTGCCATTGCTCTTGCGCCACGTGGTCGCTTGTCCTGACTGCTTTTGTAACCCTATTCAAACTATTGTTCATAGTAGCATTCCTAGGTGACCGTGGCGGCCTCTCGGGAGGCTTTTCCTCGACATCCCTCTCGTTTACCAGAGGAATATTCTTGTCGATCACGTTGTATTGCATATATGTTGGTCCACTGTCGTCAGTCTGGGTTAGTTGAGAAACGGAGCTACTGTGAGCACGTTTGTTTTTCCTTTCACTACTGGCAGAACGTAATTTTCCTACTAGTTTCCTGAAGGACTCCCCGATTTTATATTTCGAATGTCCGGAACCTTGAATATTTAAAAAAATAGATATATATATATATAAACCTCAACGTTCAAGAAATACAATTCTTTTATTTTTTCATATTCACTTTTTGCCGGACGGACAGGAGTCGATGTCGAAACTTCGTTCGATTTTTTACTGTTGCGAATGCTCGACTCCGGCATGGGTGACGTCGATCGAGATCTCGAAGTAGATTTCTTTCGTTTGTCTCGTTCGATCGTTTGCTCTTGAACGTCTCGATTACGATTTTCCCAGGTTCTTTGTACCACGTGAACTGGACTGGAAGTTCGACCTGGTATTGAATCATTTAAACTGGTCTTCTCTTCAGACCTGGTTGCCCACTGAAAATCAGCAGCTTTCTTTCAACGTGTTTCAACGGAGCACTTGGTAAGTAGACAAGAATTGCAAGAATGAATACCTGTTCTTTCGATCTTCGTCGCACAGGTGGAGATGGTGTACGTGGCCGATCAAACGATTCTTGGTGTTCACGACGAAGAACCGATTCATAAGTCTTCGAGTACGTTGATTCGACTTGGTTCCTTGAGTGATCATGAGCGTGTCCGTTTGTGTGAACTGTTTCAACGTATTGCAACGGAGAACTTGTTCTTCCTTGATTTTGCCTCTCTAAATATTATACATGACATCGTATCATTATACAAACGTCTAAACAAAATCATCAATCTCTTAGAAAGTACATGTCAATTATAATACCTTTTCCCTGATATCTCTCGGACCATTCGCTTATCCCATGAAAATATCCCGAAGGCGATGTCGAATCGCGACCTGTGCTACGTCGTTGATGACGATTCGAGTTCACATTCTGATAATCCCGCTCTTTAGGCGCGCAAGACTTCATAGTAATGTTAATATAGCTGGTGTTAGCGCTAGTTGGAAGAGGAGAGTCATCAGCATCGATGGATCCATGAGAAGAACGCGACTCGCTACCAAAATGGCTCTCCAACCACTTGGACGTTTCGAACTTCCTTGCTTCATCTTCCTCTTCGAAATCCAGCGGTTTCTTCGTTAAAACATCCTTTCTAGCCGGGAAGCTCTCCGCAGGAAAGCCTGCAATAACAATCAATCGTATCTACCGATTCGAAGACACCTTGGTAACTGATAGGAAATCGAAAAGATTAAAGTTACTAGAATATTTATGGAAACGGGTGGTTCGCATGGCCGTAGGTGACGGTGTCCAATCTCCGATTCGTTCTCCTTCAGTCGTCTCTGCGACGTAGCGCATTTCACGGGCGATCCTCTCGCCACCTGAGATATAATCGACCACGTCCTCGTCCCTCTTTTTAACGAACCTCTGTGAGCTTTCCTTCTTCTTCTCCGACGCGTCGTCACCATTCACGGCATTTCCGTCATCGGGGACCTCGTCGTCCTTGATCTAGGATCAAAGTCAGTTGGAGTACGAAAATCGATTTCAACAGGAATCGATCGATCGCAAAATAATTATACAACGTGAAATAAACCTCCTCGTGCTCGACTGTTCGTTTCCGCTCGGTAACGATCAATCCATCGGGTTTGAGCTCCTTCTTCTCCAAGGTTTTCTCCGTGTCGATCACCTTGTTCGACTTGGTCGTATGCTGGACGACCCTGGGACCCGTTTGGGATGCCAACTGCTTGCAAGATTCGGCAAGGGCCACTCTCAGATCGCCCCTGTTGCTTCTTACCGCCTTCTGGTACGCCTGAAACCAGACAAGTCACCGTTTAACCAGTCAGGACGGTCCGGTCGGTTATTATCTGCTGGAAATCACTTCGCGTACCGAAATCTCGCCCGTGATAAACCGGATCGTCCGGCTCTCGCACGCGGTCCCTCCGCAAACAAGTGGAAAGAAAGGTGTTTCTAACAGCGAAGGTCACGACATTCGACATTCGTGACAATAAACGTAAGACATCGTCGCGAATCAGGTTGCGAAGGATATCGGTATAAAAGCAAAACGTCGCTACACTGTTATACAATTACACGCTGCTATACAAAGTGTACAGCCGTAGCGATTAAATATTACCGATGCGGGATATCCTGCTGTAGTAATTGCCATTAAAATGGAACATGAAAGATTTTAAAGGCAGATATTACGCAATGAGAAAAACTTGTTCGCAAGTAAGAATACCTCAGACGTTTGAAGGTTGCCATCGATTCAAGAAAGGCAGAATGGCCTGGATTAGTCGAGGTCATTAAAGGTCATTTAGCTAATTAATGCTGTACATACCGCAGAGTTTTCAGGCTTGGTACTCGTGGTAAACGTCCTTCAATTAGAAGACCACTGATAATTTCGAGGGTTCGTCGAATATATGACCTTGAATGTACTCTATCCATCAGATCGTTGGCTATGCTCTTACGTCGACACGAGAGTTCGTTTTACACGTGGCTCACCTCGCAATTACGTTCTCCGTTTTTAGTATTCGGATTAGGAGAGATCTAGGGGAGTATCTAGAGCGATTTACGCGCGTGCAACGTGCCTGCACTTACCGTGAAATCGTATTCGTTTTACGATCTTTCCATCGGGACACGTTAGTCTTCATCCAACACCATCTTATGTCATTAATGATTGGAAATAAGCGGACGAAATTAACCGGCAGATTGTGTCACTCGGAGTACAATTAATTATCCTGTCGATTTCATAGACACCAAATATTCATTCCACTGTAACACGCAAGATGTCCCATTCGTTTAACGATTCGATCAAAACTCTTTCGCGAAGGTTCACCGGGATCATATCTGAAGTGAAATAGAGGCTGCCGTGTACCGGCGCTCTGTCAGCGAAGAAGACAATGACGAGGATGAACGTTGTTGCCGCGAAGGATCACATAATGTCCCCTGATGCTCGGCAAACAGATGAGAACGAAGAAAGTAATCTCTGGAACGTATGTCGCCCGCGACCAGGTAGAAACGCCGAAGATATTTGAGCACGGAACAGCTGCTGTGACTGCGATCGTGGCATCTCAGCTCGTTCGTCGCCATTCGGTGAAGGGAGAGCAAAGTCGAGAGATCATCGACTTCCACTTCTCGATGAGTCTCTCTCTTCGTCGCTCTTTCTTCTACAACTTCTCTTTCCTTCGTCCTTCTCCTTTCTCTTTCTCTCTGCTTCTCCACCGTATGTATCCCTACTTCGTGTCGCATTCAGCCTCTCTTTCCTTTCGTTCTTCTTCATCCAGAACAATCCGACCTCTTCGTTTCTGAATCGTTCATGCGCGAACGCGTATACCTGTTGCCTGGCTTTTGCAATCCAGAAGCTAGTCCCCTCCAACAAGGTATTTCCTCTTCTATTCCCGTAAGCCTCGTTGCACGCTCGATCGAGTCTAGGGAGGATCTTGCGTTTTCGTACCAAGTAGATTCTATCTTCTTCTGTTGCTCTTTCCGAGGTGCAACAATGTTCGTCTGAAATGTTACTGTGCCACGAAGAGGTTTCTTTTTAAAGCCAACCTTTAACGATGCATCCCGTTTTCGTGGTACCTTCCTCGCCGTTATCGGTATTCAGTTGTTTAGATGCTCGTTGAAATTTCACAGCCACAAGGAAGATGTTCTCGGTGCTGTTCAGCCTGTCAGGCCCGTTACCAGGCAGATTTATGATAAGCAACGTGACAAATACCATCGGGCACACGATACACCTGTTGCATGCCTTCTCCTGATGCACCGCCGCTTCCTTCCGCGTTCGCCTCTTTCCGCTCAGGCCTCATTAATCATCCGCTGACAAGCATTCACAGACGCTTGGTAAGGATGCTCGACGAGTGGTCGGAAAAATTAGGGATTCGCGGTTTTCGCGATTACCACGTGAAGGAATTCGCGTTTTAGCGAAGAGTGACGTAGATGCTGGCGCGAACCATCGCATGCAAATGCGAGACGAAGCTTAACAAAGGTGTGAAATGCAAATATACACAGGGTTAGGTAATCGATACTTACAGAGCTTTCGCAGATCGTGTCAAGGAAATGGCGTGAAGAGAAAAAAAAGGATACAACCAGTCTAAGTGTATAAAAATGAGTATTATCCTGCGAAAATGTTGCGATTCGACGTTTAACGATCCTTTCATATTCGTTATTTAGGAAGTGCCTACGTGTACACACTTAACTTGGTCATGTTGCATACCATTTTCACCTCTGTTTGCCTTGTTCATTATCCGTAAAATTTCTCAGTTACGTTAAACAGCATTTCAAACACATTTCTCCTCTCTAGGAGAAAGCTTGTGTGACATACTTTAAAAGAAATCATCATTCGCAAATTTAGTAGACCAAACAGAGACGAAGGCGTCCTTCGATGTTCGTAGTGCGACACTCCGCCCAAGTTAGCCTTGACCAAATCAGAAACCTGAATGTATTGAGCCACTTCGGAGCCCAAAATTTCTCCAGACCGGGAAAGGAAGTGGCCCAAAAGTGAGGATTGTATTTGTTCCCAAGATCGAGTGCCATTACGGGTACATGTGGGATGAGCCTTGGCGAGAAGCGAGCTGACCTTTTCGCGCCAAGAAAGAGAAAGAACGTGCATACACGCCGGCGTATCACGGCACGCGCAGGTGGAATTTAGGTGTGGGTGTGTCGCGTGGATATACCTCGTCCGAGATATCTCCCAGCTGTTGACGATCCTCTGTCTCCAGTGTTTCCTCGATCTCCTCGCGACTTCTCACCACCGTCTCGTTTAATTCTTTTTGAACTATGCTACCGCCATCAGCAGAATTCCTTCCACCTGTTGGCCATTCAACTTCTTGCGGTTGGTCACCGGTTGTCCGTCTCTGACAAGAAAGATCGGTCAAATAATAGAAACTCGAAGGTTCTGTCGAATGAATTCCGTGATGTAGACCTACTTCTTGCGTGGTATGTTCCTGTTGCTCGACGTCCTCGGTAGTATTCGTGGTGACCAAGGGCCCTGAATCGACCACGACCTCGCCATCCTCGAGTACAACCTGTCGCTTCACTCTTGTCTCGATCTGCCTGGTGGTGGTTATTTCCTTTTTCTTGCGAGTCTCCCATTCCTCTGAAAGCGGAAGCGGGTACTCTTTCGTCTTAGACTATATAATGCCGGCGTTATTGCGAAAAACCAATCTCTCTGACTGAACGAATGGACGGAAGGCTGGGGAGGGAAGGGAAGGATAAAGAATGGAAGAACGAAGAAGAGCAAGGAGAAGAAGAGAAGTGGTGCGAGTAGAAGTCGATGATTGCAGTGATCCGTTTCGCGACGTCGAACAAGAATAAGAGGAACTCTACTGACGTTAATACTCTGCACGGTAAATGTTTGCCAGAGCTCGGTTCGCGCGCGACACGCCTTCGTTCTTATCTTGTATCTAGTTATTTGAATCACGACTCGAACGTCCGCATCACGAACAAACAATGCATGACAATGACGTTGGCGGAATTACCTTCTTTGACCAAAGCCACAGAATTCTCAGGGTCGATCTGAAAAGCGAAAAAATCAGCATGGTTAAACTTGTTTTTCTGACTGTGTAAAAGATCGTAACGATATCTGTATGTCTGACTCTGAGCACAAGAACAAATGATTTATTCCTTTATAAGGTATAAAGCCGAGAGAGATCTACTCACGAGAATGGGTGGATGGCTCGCTGCCGGTGGACGAGCCTCGTATCGGCGTGTTGAAATCACCTCCATCATTCGATCATGCCTGCTGGTGAATCCCGATGCTGTTAGAAGTCGTCGTGACAGGAAGTGAAATTATTGGTTCACGGATTCTTCCAATAAAAGCGCGCCTTTTAATCCGATAATCCGGTTTCCCTGAAACGATTCAACACATAAATATTTAGATCCCTTCCATGAATGGCGAATTCTTCAAATAACACGGACGTATGCGTGGAAAGGTAAATTGATTTATCCAGGAATAAGGCTGAACGATTAAATAGCAAAAAACGACGTGCAATTTGCCGATTCCGGGAACCACTGGGATAATCGAGATGCATGAAGCAATGGGGTCATCTCGATGCGGTTGGAGGCATCGAAGATGCAGCCTATTTAACGCTTCTAGCGTAATCGTGACCACGTATGTTCAGCAAGCGCGTGTACGTGTATAGGCGGGGCATAATAATTCATCAGGACGCTCTTTCTGCATGGAAGTCGAAGGCCGCAGTGGCACGCGGGTCTGTGGTCGCGACCACCTCGATATGGGCTGCGATACGATATCGAGATGGTTAAAGACACGCGTGCGCCACGTACGACCAGTTTCCGACCACAGTGGCGTATTTGTCCTACCGTTTAACCCCTTGGTCCAAGACTCAAAGCGAATTTACTTGCATCTAAACAGACATCGGTTGCAAAACTAAGACCTGAACGGAAGCTTCGGACAGTAGCTAAGAAGAATGAAAAAGAAGACTCAAAATTTGTTCGCTCATAGGCGATATTACAGATAAAGGCAGCAGATAAATGGTATCCCGAAAATGCAATTACGTCTGTCCTTTCATCTACGTTGGAAACATCGATAATGAAACATCCTGTACGACTGTGTCGACGGAATCACGCGAATTAATGGACCAAGATTGAACGAAAACGTTAGCCTACGCCATTGAACACTTGCGTCCTTGCGGTTGGAATTACGCACGAGCTCTCCCCGTCTTGGCTGGAACAGGTACGTAAGTATCTGGATTTTTCCTCCCCTAGAATCTAGGCTTATAACGTGCCGTCTTAGAGCAAATGACGGCTACCAGAGAAAATAATCGTCGGCCACTTCGAACCGGTACACATCGACGTTCCGACCGGTGACAATTAACGTGCTCACCGCAAAGAGAGAGAGAGAGAGGGAGAGAGAGAGAGAGAGAGTCAAGACGGGTATCTCGCGAACGAATCCGCGACGCTGATCGAGACGAAGCTGAAAAACAGGTGCGATTCGTATTGACATCACGCTTCAACGACGATTCTATATACGACCGTGTCGGCGGCTTCTTCTCATTGGATATGCGTGTGACGTCAGGCATGTGTCATGACGGTGTGCGGCTAAACAAGTGAAAACTGTCCATCGTGGAAGACGTTTTTCTGCTCCATTGTCACGGCGTACGCAACGAAGTTTCTGGACTTCCATCGTGCAAGAAAATACTCCTCGGTAGTATCTATTGAATATCTTTTGCATCTTATATCGTCACGAAGATGCAAGGAGAATTTTAAATAACTCGTTGCTCGTGACGTCGTTGCAGTCAATGATGAATTAGGAACACTTTGGATTAGCAGTTTCCCAGATTAATCATTCCGTGTCACGATGAGACTGGAAAATAATATAGAGCTAATATAAGTCGAACAAGAATCTTCAATTGCGCAGATTGTGCATTGAGCAGAGAACGCGATTGTTCGCTGACGGCGTTTAAATCACCGCTCAACAGGTCGCTGGTGATTTAAATGCGTGGCTGAAGAACGAAAAGCGACAGATAAATAGAGCAATCGGAGAACAGGTGGACACTCGTGGGCGGTATGCGTGTAATGCGATGAACACGTGACCTCGACAAGGACGTCGCCATTTTGAGGGAAAATGATAAGCGCGGCAAATTTATACGCGACGCACATCCTTCTTTTATCCTGTTTTATCTGGAAAGAGAAGATTATTCGTTGGAACGCATCGTGTAAACGTTACAAAGCAGACATTGCCTAATAAAACGACGTACCTAAATTACCCCGAGTTCATTTAACTCTAGATGACTTGGATTCAAAGGTGAAACGGTAAAGGAGAATTCAATAATTCAGTGAGTTTAGAATTCCAAGGTAGAAAATGTTTGACCGCTTTTCTGAGCATGCGAAGAAAAATAAATCACGTTGCATCGTGTTCATACACCGCAACAATTAATCACTGACGAGGCCTTGCGATGAAATTAATTCGACCTATTAATTACGTACGACTATCGTTTTACAAATATCAGCAACTAAATTGCAAATTAACACGCAAGGGTAGGCAGGATCGCGGAAAATCAATGTCGTATCGGGAGCAAGCGGTCAAAGAAAAAAGGGCCCGGACTAGAAACGTATCTTTACACCCGATGCACTGGGAAGATTCCCATCGGTGCTCGTGCACGGCAAATTACGTAAGAAGCTGACAATGCCAGTCTCGTAACATCCTCGAGGAAAAAGCGATTCGATGGAGCGGCCAGCCTTCTCTAAGAAAGTACACGCGTTTTAGAACCGCGGTAACCAACGAAAGAGAACAGTAAAGAATGAGATGCATCTGGACTTAGCGAAGAGCGAGAGCCAACAAGTGAGAGAGGAAAGAAAGAGTCGTGTTTACATTCACCTGATTCCTATCGTACTCCGATGACCGCTGCTCTTAAATCCGTGGATGGATCAAGTGCAATAATTCTTCTATATCTCGTTGTTCCGATTACAAATATATGCGCACACGTGATAAGATAAAGGGAAGTCGTTTGAATAGTCGTCGAACCAGTCGTCAAGTGACAAGCGAGATGTCACAGCATGGAAAGTCAAGTAACGAGCGGCAAACCAAATTCCCGCGCATGCTGCCGTGGCCAGCGCTCACGATACTGTCCGTCCGTCGAGTGCTTTCTGACGGATCCGCCGGTCGGGGTGCTCCCAGTGGGAGACGAAGATCGCCGGAGCGGCACGAAGCGTGCCCGAACTATCGGTTGTGATGAGATCAAGCTGGATCCGACCGGGAACCGGTAGTCTCTTCTATAGGTAAGCCGATTGTCCGAATCGATGTTCTATTAGAAATTCTGGCTCGCTGGAAAAGTGGAAGAGGATGCTAAGTATGGTAACATAACGAGAAGGAGCAAATTAAAACATGCGGTGTTAAACTCTGTTTTCTTATCTCATTAACGTACCTTAATTAATTCATCACCTGACGCTTTTTAACTGAAGATTGTACTTATATTTTTCATCTGTTTCTCCATACTTTGATATAAATATATTTGTTTATTTACATCCTTGGTGTGGCTATTTGCACCAGCAAGTAATAAAATAATTCTGTGACGAGACTGATCGCTGAATGAAGAGTGCAAAATGCGTAAGTACTGTGCAAGGCTAAAGGTTCCCTTTGTTAGGGGAAGGACAACGATCGAAACAGGGACAATACCTGCAAGGGACATGACAGCGGGGGACGAGGACATCCGTGTTTCGATGAAATCGGTTAGCAGGTCACAACCGATCCTCCATGACGTTCATAAAACTAAGAAATCCATCGTTGTCATAGTTCAATTATGCCGTCTATCATCTTCGTTCAAATGACAGCAAGAATGCAAAATAAAAAACTATGTATATAATTTCTTCGAATGCATTTCAGATTTCAGCTAGGCATAATTTTAAATTCAACTCTTGGCCTGGAATATAAATATTAATGGGACAATCAGTGTATAGAACATTAATATGTAACACAAGTATTAAGTACTAAACAGAATGTTTTTCATGCGATTTTAATTGAAATATAGGCACGAGCTGGCGATTCAAATATGAATTCTCTGAAGCAATCTTTTCGCCTAATTATCCATTAAACGAGTACATGTAGGCAAATCACGTGCGTTTGACGTTCGAAATCTATCGTCGATTAAGATTAATAAATTAGGTAGATAATTTACATCGAGTCACGTTTCATATGGACATTCTTAAATGGGTTATCGAAAAATATATCTGGACAGAAGCGACGAATACATTTTCAGAAGTCTATTCTTAGCGCTGAGGGTTAATATGCAAATGCAACGTTCCAAGTGAATACCTTATATCGCGTGCGTGTGAAGTGAATCATCCGTGAACATAATCAAAATATCGTATCTTAATATCTGTGCTCACGCCTGTTTCGTCCGGTACCAAAAAAGGTTGTTTAAGAAAAGAGCAGAAAAAAAAAAAGAACGACATTAACATATCCTAGAAATGTGCAAATGTTAATTGATTCTTCTTCAAGGAATTAGGTAACACTTTCCACATCGTAGAATAGTTAGAAGAGTGTCGCTTTTATAATTATCGTTAACGTTGCTGTCGACCGTTATTCCATGACTCAATACTACATCGATGCGCTCTGTTTACACTCAACAGTGAAACTGTAATAGGTACTATTGGCACGGCTACGTAGTTTAAAAGTACCTCGCGTTCAGAGAATTTTGCATTTCGCTTACGTAAAGTACCACGAGATTACAATAAGAAATAAATGACTTAAATAACTTCTCAGAAATGCTACAATCGTTTTTATCGCTTAATTATGGAATAATATATGTGTTTAAGATTCAATAACGTTATCCAAGCTAATGAATTCACTTGCAGCAATAATTAAGTTACTTCATGAAAGTTACAAATGCTTTAAATAGAAATTAATTCGAAGATAAAACACCTTATTTATAGCGATTAAAAACGCAAAGAAGGTCAATTAAGACCCTACCCTAGTGTTTGCGATATCATTATCGTTTCTAAGAAAATCTCAGAAACCAATGAATGATCTTGTAGTAAAACTTCTTGAGTGCCTTCTCTCCGCGCGTAATTTCATTATCCTGGTTTTCCTTGGCGCTAATCTCGTTCTCTATATACAGCATGCAATCGTAGTATCCTTGGAGAGAAGCACGCGTCATTGGTCTCTGGTATTACGATCGTATCGAGTAATCATGCCAATGTCAATAGCAGAAATTGCTCGAACGATAGAAGAGTAACAACGTGTCAAGTGGTATTGCAATTAATCAGGCATCAACCATATAAACATAATACATTGACTTTGTACGACACGCTAAATAAGTCGCCAACTGGAAGTCTGAAACAGAACCATGATAGTATGAAAATCCACCTGATCGACCTCGAATTATTCTTCCGGGAGGACGAGCCGTATGGAAGACGCTGTATGTATGTTTCATGTATGTAGGTAAGCAAGAAGACGGCCCACGTCAGTTGCGAGCCAGGGCAAGCTTACCTATATGGATTTGGAAACGTGGCCATCGCCAAAAGCGGCTGAACAAAATCAACAGCATGATACGACGAGACAAGTTTGTTCAGCGGGCGTAATTGGTCCCGTGAACTGGTTCAAAAGAGGCGCGCCTTTGCAGGTGCGGCCTAATGCGTCGATCCAGAGTTGACTTTTTCCACGAACGGTAATTTCTGCAGTTTCCTTCGTTGAAAGAGAGTTATGATATCATTATAAACTGAAAATTGTATTCATCGATGGAGATCGTATAGGAGCAAAAAATCAATAAAATTATAGGTTAAATTAGATAAATTGTTTACCGGATTTCTAATATAACACTGCGAAATAGTGAAATTCGAAGAAAGAATATGAGCAAACCGCCTTTTCTTGGTGTGATGTTAATGCAATTATCCATCGACAGAAATCGCGTGAAAGCGAGTATCGAATGGTCAAAGATCGATAATAAGCGTTCTAATTTCTTCGTTGTTAAAGATTATATTGTCATCGACTTTTTACCTCTGGAAGAAAATAGAGGTAAATTGCTGATCATTATTTTTATAATCACATACTTGCTGGGATAAGTTTCTACGATACTACCGTGCTGTATGGCCACTGCTTTCTCGAAAATTTGATAGATCAAGTACGTTTAAATCACCACGTTTCGTATTTAATTTTTTGGTATCGATTCCCTTACCCGCCAATGAAAACGACACGCAGCATGTGGCTCCAACTGACGGCCAATACCTACACTAACAGATAAAGGATCATCTTCAATTCATCTAGGTGGTGCTGTGAACCGTGGTCTAGTGACAAAATAAAAGTAACTAGAACAAAGAAGCCAAAGAGAGGGGAATATAATGGTGTAAGAGGCACGACCCCAGGCAACAGAACACATCGAGCGTATCTCTGTTCGTATGTCCGTCTTTGAAGCATAGGTACGCCATGTTCTCGGTCGTTGTATTCAGAGAGAAATAGTGATTAGAGTAGAAAAGAGACAGAGCGAGCAGAAGGTGGTAGAGGAGGAAGCGAGAAAGAGGAAAGGAGGGAGAGAGGAAAAGAAACAGAGATAGACGGATGACAGAAATGCATAGCCGTGCTAGCAGCAGCAAGAACAGCAGCAGCGCATAGAGGAGAGATCGCGTCGTACACGCGTAATTCGGGGCGTGTGCTAGGTTGGTCGGTTTCCTAGCTCGTGTCCGTGGCTGCGAATCGAAGATGTATCGGTGGCAGTGCGGGATACGCGTCATCGTCCCGTGACGACGACGTTAGAGAGGTGCGAGACCGCGAGCACGGTGTGGGCAGGTCGCGGCCATTTTTACCACACGATGCGGCAACCGTGCGTGCCCGTTCGATCCGCCATTCCAAACAATCGGTGTACTTCGTGCCCTCGCAGGGTGCATCTAGCCACGGCAACTCGTGGAGGCACTGTCGAGCAACGATAATACGTGCCAGTTTATCATTGAAACGAGCATTTTCTCGGGACGAGCACGACAAGACAGCTCGCGAAAGCCGGCAGTGTTACTGGTGCTGGTGGTGGACGTCGTCGACGACGACGTGGAGGAAGAGGAGAAAGAAAAGAAGAAAGATGATGATGATGATCGTGATCATGGCGAAAAAGAAACGACTCGAATGGTCGATACATTGGAATACTATTGGAGCTGTTCAAGCATGCCTGTGATTCGTGTTTAATTGCGCACAGTGTGTTCGCTGATGATAGTGCCGTTTGTGCCCAGTGTCTCTCTGTTTCTCTCCGTGTGTCGCTCTCCGTCTGTCCGCCCTGTGCGTGCGTGTTTCGCGTGCCTCCTCGCCACGCACCGGACTCTCTCCTCTTCCTCGGCAGCGCGATCGATGTGACACCGTATGACCGCCTGAACGTCTTTTCCAACGAAAATTCTCGTTAACTCCATTCTATAGAACTCACTGATTCCTGGAATACAAGAAGACAGGGAATCGAGCCTAGTGTTATAGATGCGTGTGTCCCGTCGGTAAACGTCCTGTCTTGTGAGAGTGTGTATCCGAAGGCAGTGTGTGCTCTCTTACTCGCTCTCTCTCCACCTCCTGTTCGTTCCCCTTGGCCCCTCTTTCTCCCTCGCTCCATCTGTCTCTCTTATTCACTTATTCTCGTTTTCTCTGTTTTTCCATTCCACCATCCTCCTCTCCTTCTCTCTCTCTCTCTCTGTCTCTCTCTCTTTTTCTCTCATTCTCTGTCTGTGTCTCCTGATTTTCTCTTCCTCTCACGGTAAAGAAGCATTAAAGACGACCGTAGTAGAATGCTCGACGACACCACGATACAACGCTTGTCATCGTTCACGTCGTTTTCGCGTTTATCGTGGTCGTTCCCGGATCGTCTCCACTTTTCTCACGGCTTCTTCTGTGCAATCGAGGAAGCTGAATCGTTGAGGGCACCTCGATCGTGAGGTGGTGACGACCAGCTCGTAGCGAGGCACGACAACGGCCCCTCGTACGGGAACAGGACGTCTGCCTCGAGATGGAGATCGAGGCGAAACAACGGAACCAGAGAAATCGGAGACGAGAACGAGCCCAGCGTATGTTGGCGCAAAGGGAGAGTTTGGCCACCGCGAAGCAGCAGCAGCAACAGCAACAACAGCAGCAGCAACAGACGAGGCAACGACCGAACGACGAGGAGGACAGCCACAGCGGCGAGGACGAGGACCCCGCCGCCGGTCTTGGCCTCGGACTCGCCAGGACCGGTCATCCTCGTGACAGCCATTCGCGACCGCCCAGGCCACCGCGACCGCCCAGGCCACCGCGACCCCCGAGGCCTCGTAAGAAGTCTTCCCTCGCGGCTGCCAACCAGAAGGAGCCTCCCTTCGAAGAGGACATTATCGACGGTTTTGCCATACTTGCCTTCCGCACCTACGAAGAACTCGAGGTGAGCGAAACAACATTTTCCCTTTCTCTCTCTTCTTTCTATCTACCCATCTCTTTCTTTCATTATTCCCCTAGAGTTTCCACTATTCTCATATTTATTTTCAACGCCATCTTATATTTATTAACCTCCAAAAGCTAGCTTCTATCTATCAAATATTAACGCCGTTTATTCGGACGTGTATTAGTCGCTGCCTATGCTCACGTCTCACCTGTGTCACAGATTCACCAGTAATGTTATTCGCTGATGGATCGTCATGTTTCTTGCGTGCGCGCGTGCAGACCTACGCAAACCTCGCTCGACCCATCGCGCGCAGTGCCGTTTTCATTTTTTTTTCTTCTTCTCCCTCCTCCCTTTTGCCTCGCTCGTGGCAAGCGATGTTTTTATACTGTATGCTACACAAGATACGATACATGTTATTAATGCGTTTACACGTTCTTAATTCCACGAGCTTTTCTAACCTCTTTTTTTCCTTTTCCTTCCTGTAAATAATTATGGGATTATTTTTGTTTACACACCAGCGACGTTTAAGAGGCTGGCCGCTGGAGCAATTTGTAGTTTGTTCGTTTGCGCCTTTTTGCTCGGTTTATAGCTTCCATTCAGTGCGCTTCGCTCGGCCAACAACTGTTCTTTTCACCATACCGGCTGTGCGCGCGCGTTCGTGCGCGTGTTGCATATAGTCGAAAGACGGAGGATCACCTTTCTTAATACGGTTACACGAAAACTTTTCTCCACACCGTAAAAAAGCGTATTGAAATGCGCAGGCAAGATTTTCCATGCCGATATCAAAGCTCGAGAGATTTTTTTTTAATTTTCATTATTCCCCGCCCCATCCAGCGCGTTACAGGCGGGCCAATATTGTTCGGCGAGTCAAAAAATATTGCTCGAAAAGAGTAATAAAAACCAATTAGAGCAAATTGCCAACTCGTGCAATTAAAGGGTTGAGCGTTTAACTTTGCTGCGTTGATTCGACGAGATTAATTTATGAACGTTTTAGCTGCGCTCTACGTTGCTTATTTTTCCTGTTGGAGAAAAACATATAGATACGTAACAGCGTATCGTAAAGAACCGTTTCACCTGTTATATTATAACAACGACGAATTTTAACCGACGCTAACAGTGTTTTCATTTTGAACGGTATTAACGCTAGAACTACCAAACGAGTCAAAATGGCTGCTTATAGACTTTTTCTCGTCGTAATTATTGGAAATTTGCAGCTGCTTTTGGTAAAAGTATCGTTACTTTCTACTCCACGTACAAACGTATCGTATAACGTAATTACGTATCATTATAAATATAATTATTATTATACAATATAACGCGGTTATTGTTTAATTCATATATGCTTTAATTACCATTAATTATGTAAACTATATCTAGATGCGTATTACAGGTGGGTTGTTCTAGCGTTAAGGTTCACTCACAAATTCCGCGATAATTATTCAGACCTCACCGTACGTATATTATTCATCATTTACATAAGCATTTTGAACTTGAAATAATATATTTTGAAGCAGAACACAAAAATTTGCCTTACTGGCTGTGTAGGGAGGAGCAACGGGAGCCCCAGGATCTAGCTTGTGTTTTAAAGCGATGAATTCTTTTAAGAACTCGCAGATAATGATATCGTAGAACATTGGTAAGGCCACGTATTGCTTCCTTTCCCAGTATGGACATAAATTTACATCACAAGGATAGAAGACCTTGTGGAAGTAATACGAAACCCAATGTGGTTTAATATCCGACATTGCGAGACGCTTCTAACGCCTTTCCACGATGCAATTTTCGTTAAACAACTGCGTACCGTGCAAAATAATTAGAGGATCGTGTTTCCAATCGATTCAGGAAAGTGAAACAAGCATTCAGCCTGAAAGAGATACCGTGTACATGATACAGCAACGCACAGGCCTCAAAATAATTGCAAGTTCACGGATGCAAATGCACTGAGAGATACTCGCGTTATGAAACACCTTAGTGAAGTATTTTATCTTTTTTTTCTATTTTTTCTTTTTCTTTTTTTTTGTTTTGTTTTTATTTTTATGTTTATAGATAGTTCAATGTGTAATCTGACGTTTGGCTCAATTTTTTAGATCACCTCCTTAGTTTGAGCAGTGAGTGTTTCTCTGGAATCTTGCAGTGTGCTACTTTGCGAGCAGTTCAAATAAGTACAAGGACCAATTCTCGATTATCAACGCTCGGCAAACTGAAATTTATCTCTGAAAAGAAAAAAGAAAGAAAAGAGAGGGATTTTCGAAAACAAATTTTCAATTGCGAATCTTATCGTTGCGTAGAGCAAACACAAGCATGGATAAGGTTTATCCAATAGGGAACTTATAGTTCCAAAACATGCGTGTCATCCAAGAGAAGAAATCCAGTATAATACGGTACTTGAAATGACTCCAAATGTACATATATATACATATACGAATATTACATGTAAGGACTAAAAATAGGTATCAGAATATTTTGATGGAAAATGCGATTTGTCTGAGCAGTGTAGATGATTATTTCGAGCTGTGTATGTAATATCGAAGGTGTACGATTGAAATTATCGAAGCATGAACTGAAAACGAGTTCGACTACCACGGAAAAGGCTGGTGAGCACCGATCAAGATCATTTCGAAATAGAACGCTTTAATTACGCAGAACTTTATCGGCGTACATCGAAACGAGCATAAATCGAATTCGTTATCTGTGCTTGGCGCGAGCCAAAAAAAGATCCAACACTAGAGCCCACGATAGTGTACGTTACGTCTACGAGGCAACGAAAGCTCTTTCACGTTGCTACAAGTACCTTTTATCATGATTTATCGCAAACGCAACCGTTAATCGTTATTTTTACCGTACACCGCGATATCAAACCGGCTGACACGGTCGTCTTCGTTAACGAGCTATAATTTTCGTTGATAGATAAAAGCAACAATGACAACTGGACGCATCCCTGCCGCTTTCTGGCCGCTTGCCTTCGTACAAATTGCGAACATAGCGAAACACCGTTTTTCAATGCGAAACGAACGAAAATCACCGGGCATTTGCGATAGATAGATTATTTTGGAAAGAGAACGACTGTCTCTGTTGTGTTTTCATATCAGTAAATGACCTCCAATTGCTTTCATTGCGGCATCACAATTGCTGTTTTCGAACGAGTAGTATCTGTTAGGGGAAATTATTAAATTACCGATAAACGATCGCTAGATCTGCGACTAAACAAATGCTGCTCGATTCTGATCGCTTCCATGAAGATTATACGTACTCATACATAAAACACGTCGCTTTATATGCTAATTAAAAAATGGTCTTACCATCTTTTGCGATGCAAATGATATAGAATAGCGAGTGAACGTTGCGGCCGGAAAGCAGTAAGGTCAACTTACACAAACTTTCGTTAGCGAAGCATAATCTGCATTACGGTTCATTATTTTATTGGTCTCCTTTAAGTGGAAAAAATGCTATTCGCCCGGAAATGCCGCATCATTGCGGAAATATTTGTAGCCGCAGGTTAAACCAATGTCACGCACGAATGGTAGAAACAATAGCGCTGCAACATTGTATTCTCTTGTCGAATTCGTCATACAAATTTCTGCCGAATTATATAAGCCTATTTTTCACGTTATTAAGCGTATTGTTATCGCATAAAGGGGCTCCCGGGGCGGATTGGAAAAGAGACTTCGAAGACGGTTTGTCGGTCATTCCCGGTCGAAGTACAACGCACAATGCGAAGGAAGGGTCTTGAAATAGCCTGAACCTTTTGTATCCCCCTCCTTTGCTCCAAGTAAATTTCTTTTCTACCTGGGAAACAGAGAAAGAGCAGGAACGGAGGAATGTTACTTAGTGGATCGTTATTGCTTGTAAACATGAATCACTAATATTTACCATTTGCCCGGCTGCTCTCACCGTTTACTCGTTTATTACTCATTCGTTTGTTTCGTAATAATGTGCATCCCAGTACTGTCTGCACGCTCCATTAGAATCACGGAACGAAGATAATTAGCGACGCAAGCTGAAACGTATCAACGGCACGGGTATAAATTGTCACAATTTGCGAAGGAAAGAGAATGCGAGAGGAAAATAGAAAAAAGGAGGAGATGTGCGACACGTGACGAATGCAAATTTTTACACTCGTTATCTTTCCTTACTACGCGCGATTCGAGACGGAAAATACGATTACGAATGATTCGTTGTGCATTGTAATTGCGCCCGTTAGAATTACTATACGCTTGACCCTACCCAGCTGATCGCTTTATTATTAGTTTACGCGGCAGATACGATAACGCTGGAGGAATTTCTCGTAGGATCCGGTCGCGTTAATTCCTACCCAACTGCGATCGGTGGAAATACGCCAATGGAAATAACAGCTTCGGAATCAAATGATTTACGGAGGAAACAACATACTTGTCCAACGTATAATCATACGCGATATAATCACCTCGTTTGATTGGGTGATTGCTTAATTACCTACGAGCAATTTATTTCTTATCTTTGCGTCAGACATTGAACAGCGTTAAAATTTCCTCTTGAAATTAATAATACATGCGCCTTTCTTCTTTATACACATGGCCATTGTAATCCGTTGCATAAATCTGACCCGTGGTAATGCAGTGCGTCTCGTGGAAAGAAAAAGAAGATATTCGTGGCATGCTTGTTATTTACTCGTCCATTTCGTGCATTATCGAAGCACAAAGTGCATTGTTATTGTCACGGAGAAAGTAGCCGCGATGTAAACCGCTTAAACCGGTCCCTCTTGTTCCTGAACGGGTTCGCGATCCAACCTGAGCTTCTGGACGGTGCACAACAGCTGTAAGCTGCGCGCAACGCTTAGCAGGAAATGCCAGATCTTCGCTTATCAATCTTGTCCGCCTGTAACGCGATACACACACGCTCACGCACACACTCGCATACTTTTCCCTCCTTTTTTCTTGCTTTCTACTTTTATTTCCCTTTACGTCTAATTAAAAGCCAGCTTAGAGCCGAACTCTTCTCACCCTGTTGGCAAATCGCGATCCCTCGCTAATTAAATGTGAGAAATCGTTACCTGCTAGTAAGTGAATTATCAGGCCCGGTGCTCGCATTACTAGATACCTTGTTATCTGCTCCCGAGAGCCGCGAGTAAGACGATTTGAAATGTAAACGCCACGGTAGGATGTTGATTCGGTGTCAAACAATTAGTGGGGAGCGAGATATGCATCGCTATTCCAGCAGACGACGACGACGACTAATTATGAAAAGCCGTGGGAAAAAAAAACCAGATCCTTTTTAATGCTCTATTACCAACGCTTTGCCCCGGGACGAAATGGAATATCCGCCAGATTGCTCGTCTTTTCCATGATATTCTTTCAGCTGCTGCTCCCTCGTTCCCGATGTTCATCGCGATGGTAATTTATTTGTACGCCATTTCGCAACTAATCAAACGTCACTTCTCTTCCTGTCCTCCTTCATAATGTGTTCTCCGTGTTAGGCAGAAAGCTTCGACTTCCGTTATGAGAAACATCCAAAATGTTAGACACCACCGTATCGTGTGTGAGATCCCCGGATTACTTTGAGCGTGTGAAATCGCTCCTTCCTCGCGTCGTCGCGAGCACAAAAGCACATGGGTTCGGTGCAACGCGCGTTAGCCAGGTTTTGAAAAATCCCTTGAATCGGGAATGCACGCGTCGGTGATTTTCTTTTTCGAATTCCTCGTTTCGCTGCGGGGAAATCCTTTTGGACTTTTTCGTCGTCTCGCAACACAGGGAACGTTCGACCTCTCCCGGGTGATTGTCCTTACCACAGATTCTTTCTTATCCGACGTGTTTGCTCCCTTCTCCCTCTTCGCTGGAGGCTGGCCGTCGTCGTCGTCGTCGTCGTTTCCCCTGATCGTGTCCTTACATTCTTCGGCTACAAGAGAGGGACAGGGAGAAAGAACGACGGGTCGGGTCAAGAAGAGAGTGTGTCGACACATGGCGAGATTATTATCACATACGTAACACCATACCGTAATACTTAATTATCTTGTCCGGCACTGCGACCGTTTAATTTATCTCCGCAAAAAATGTTTATCCTCCCGTCGAGCAATTAGTGACATATTCAATGATACACATTATCCGGCGCGTATAAATGAAAAATGATCCACTCGACCGTGCGCGATGATGATGATACGGCTCGCTTCTGAAATGAACGTGTACACCATCCTCATCTATCCAGCCGTGTTCGGTTGCTTCGCTCAAAATCCTCTGCCACTGTTTGCTGGAACGAGATAAAACAGTATTTTGAGACGTTCTTAAAACTCGTGGTCGCCGAGCTTTTAAATGGGATATTTCCCGTTTCGTTCAACTGTTAGATATTTCTTTACCTGGTCTCAAAATGTGCAGATCCTTCGGAGATGATGTTAAAAATAACGAATCCAGAGAGACTTTATTTGCTGAAAAAAGAAGAAGAATCGAATGAGAAGAGAATGACTTGAATATTGCTTAGACGTTCTGATATTTAAAGCGACACGTCGAAGCTCTCGAGACGCCGGATATTTGAATGATAGAATCTAAGTAAACAATCGATTAATTATTTCGAACAACCTATAATCGGGAATGGCGTCTCGAAAGGTCGCTGTAACGCACACAACCAGGTCACACTCTGTCTGCGACCCAGCAATTAAAGATTAGTTAGCTACGAACCATTACAAAACGAACACGTCGCGCCCGCTGTACATGTGTGTATGATGCATGATTTAGTTGTAAATTCACGTAGACCGGTATGGGGGAGTGAGCCGTTCACGAGAGACGGGGGCACGATGGATGAATGGAATCTGAAAATACACGA